AAACCTCCCCCCATCCAAGAAAAAAGAGGTTAGGGCCGGTGCAGTAGCCAAATCACCAAGCTGCTCTGACTCTCACAGTCCATTCTGATATTTTCAACTCGAAGGACAACTTATGTTCAAATGGGATTAAATAACCAGGCCAAAGTCTCTTAGGATTCACATTTTATTATTATTATTATTCCTGTAAACTCTCAGTGGAGCATAGGGCCGCAACAACACCTCGCCAACGGAAGGTGTTGTTGCAATTACTTGTAGCAGGTTGGTTTTTACGTGGTGGAGTTGCTAGCCCCGCGCCCAACCCTCCTCCTTTCTCATCCTGGACTTGGGACCAGGCAAAGGCGGAGGTTTGGCATGTTTGGTGTGACGGGGATTCGAACGATTACGAGTCGAGCGCCCTAACCACCTGGCCATGCCGGGCCTAGGATTCACATATGGTCTTCTCTAAATATGAGCTTCTCACCAGAAATATTACACCTTATCAGCAGAATTCACTGCTACAAGGGCTTTTCCAGGTCTTGAACTAAATCACGTGATTGATTGTTACTTTTAAATCCACTCAAAGCTAAATTAAAAAAGGGAATAATTTCTAGACTTATATATTTAGTAAACATATTTATTAATTAACTGAATAACTAGTTGGCTATGTTGAAAATCTAATATTTCACAAAAATATTAAACTATCCAGTATATTCAAGGACATCTCAGCATGAACCTTCGACCTTTCTATTTGGATTGTGGCATGCTAATCATTAAGCCACTAAAGTTAGAACAGTTTGCTTATGTTTTTCGTATTGTAACTATTGGCGGTGCTGTTCTTAAGCACAATAATAAAACTGAGTGCTTGTTCTTCAACAACACCTATTGTACTTGTGAAGAAGCAGGATTGATACATGGAGTCCTATCTGAACTACTGATGAACAAGCCAAAAGAACCTCCCAGTGATAAAACAGGTTACAGCAGTTGAACTCGTGTTTAAGTGTTTTCCCATGCCTCAAAATAAAGCATTAGGAAAATGTCTTATCTTCAAGTTAAATACAATATCTTAACAAAAAACAAAAACCTGTCCTCTCAAACCACTTACTTTTCAACAATGAAAGACGATCACGGTGGATGACATTTGGCTTGGACTGTATGTCTTTCTGGATTCCGTAAACCATATCATTGGATCTTCTTTGGTACAAATATGGTCCTTCCCAACATCTGTTTAACTTAGTTTAAGTTAGTATTTTCTTGTGGCAGGGATTATACAGCCATTCCATGTCAACTCATTGGAATCTAGTCTTATCAGAATTGACATCATAACAACTTTTTATTTTATCACTAGCTGTTTTAAGTGTTTATTTAGTAAAGTGATGTGACATAAGTGGTGTTCCTTATTCTCTTGGCATACTCTGTGTAAAGCTCTGTTGAGTGGCTATCATCTTGTTGTGAGCACAGAAAGTTCAATGACACTTTGAGTTCTCTTCCAAACCTCAGTAATGATGGTGTGTTTTCATTAGCTTCACGTATTAATGTTTGACAACTCATAAATAACTGCAAAAGATCTTTATCCCACATTTCCTATGTTCGTCCACATAAATAGCTAACTGCTTCAAATAGTAAAGTTTTACCTCTCCACCATGCCATCAGAAAATTGATGGAGGGCTGTTGGCCTAGTCATTTTTACTCTAAGGATCTGACACATCTTCAGAATCAAGGCTAATTCAAAGTTTCATCAGTTTCGTCCCAGGTATGAGTGAATTTCCGCAGTTACTCTAAAACTTGGTTGGAATTCAATGAAATATTTCTTTTTTAGAGTTTCTCTTTCCTGATTAGGAAAATTATATGCTTCTGGCCATTCGGTCAGATATTTCATCATAACCATGGTGTATTTATTCCCACTGTTAACTTTGTGGCAGAGGAACAAGCACATAGATAACAACTGTCTCAAGTGGTGCTTGAACATACAACTGCTGTAGCTTCCCATGTTGTGTCTTTCGTGAACCTTTCACACACAGAATAGTCCACACAATTTGCAAACATTATCTAC